CGAAGGTCTTTACTATGCGCTGCTGCATGGCATCATAACCGAATGCGAGGGTGCTTGCAGTTGTGCCGGTTCGCACCACCTGCTTCACCTTGCCGTAGGTATTCCACGTGATAGCCGACCCCTGCGATTGGTCACTAATCAGGTTGCCCGAAGCATCATACTGGTAATTGGCGGCGTAATTCTGACCCGGGAGCGCAGGGTTTGGAATAAGCGTACCGGTCTGATTATCAATATCTTCGGTGTAGTTGGTGGCTGCCACCGCATCATTCACTATCCGCAACTTATTGGTATTGGAATGATATCCATAAGTCAAGTTGTCCATCTCAATGTTGGTTCCGCCCGCTTTTCGGTTGTAAGTGGTGATGTTGCCATTGGCATCGTAGCTCACCCGCTCACTAAAAGCCGTGAGCGGTGCGGCGGGCACATTCACATTAACAATTAACCATTATTATGGCGTACCCCCACCAGCCCTTTTAGTTATCAACGTAGCTTAGTCCTTTCTGCAGGGCTGGTGCGGTCGGGCTATCCGCGACAATAGCCATAAAAAAGTGCCTCTTGGTTGCGCGAATATCTTTTACAGTTCGGCTAGGCACTTTTTTATGGCTATTTCTGCTTCTATCCCTTACGCTTAGAGGCAATTACATTGTCTTTATTTACACAGATAGTTGCACTAAATTTCAATCTCATTCTAGTGGGATATCTAAATCCAATATTTTTAATAATTCATCTGCAGTTGGGAGTTTGCCTTTGTAGGCTTCTGGAAGTTGCGGATAAAGTTCATAAGTACTTACACCTATTGGATTAGCTTTTGTACGGAGGCTAACTTCTACCTCGAGTTTGTTCTTTTCGGCACACAAAATAATCCCAATAGAAGGGTTATCGTTTTCAGCTTTCTCTATATCGTTTAGTAATTCCAAATAGAAGTCCATTTTACCCGCATACTCTGGCTTAAAATCACCTGTTTTAAGGTCAATGGCAACCAAACACTTCAAAAAGCGATGGTAAAAAAGCATATCAATGAAATACTCTTTCTCACCTAATTTAAGTCTATATTGGGTTCCAATAAAACAAAAGCCATAACCCATTTCCATCAGAAAATCTTTGAGCTTTGCTAGTAGCCTCCTTTCTAAATCGCGTTCAAGTAACGGCTGCACCAAGCCCAAAAATTCCAAATTGATACGGCTTTTGAGCATTTCATCGGCTTGTTCTGCAAGATTTTCGGGTAAAGTATTCGTAAAGTTATGCGATTTATCTATTTCTAATTGCCGATAGGTATTTGCCTTTATTTGGTTCAAAAGCACATCCCTGCTCCAGCCCAATTTAGCTGTAGCTTCTAAATAAAAGCGTCTTTCATCTTCAATTTTCACCTTTTGTATGATGAGTATATTTTGTCCCCAAGGAATTTCTCCAACAAGCCGTTGGAGAATTGGAGAATGCCGATATTCCAAATAGAACTGCCTTGATAACCATAGGTTTTGCGGAGAAAACCCTGTCATTTCAGGGAAAATCAATTTCAAGTCTTTTGAGAGCATTTCTACAACAGATTTGCCCCAACCTAATTCCTCTTGCTTTTCAACAATCAACTGTCCGATAAACCAGTATAAACCAATAAAGGATTTATTTACAGCCTTTGCTGCATCAACCCTACTATCGATTACTTTGTTTTTAATCGCTTGGAGAAAGTCTCTATAATCATTGGTGGTTAAACCTTTCATGAAAATTTCATTTTTATTAAGTATGCATTTTCTTCTTCTTTCCAATCTGTTTTTGGGGGCATAGCATTGAAAGTTGGGCTAGGAATCCCTTGGCAATATGCAAGTGACTTCATGCCGCATGTTGTTTGCGGACAAATGTAACACAATTTTGTAGGCTTACAAGTTTTTGTGGGTAGCGATTTGCCTTCCTCCTTATAAAACGCGGTTGTGCATGCATACGATGCTATCCATTACGAATAACGACTATTGCCCCCGATACCGCTATGGACAAGGCTATGATGATTGCCACTCACCTTTCACCCCATCCATAGCTGTACTCGGATTTTATTTTTTTTATTTCCAATATGTCAATGAACTTGTTATACTTTCTTAGTCCCACGCTACGCGCATGAGCAATATTGAAAAGGCGAAAGGAATATAAGCACATTTTTGTCTGATTCATTTCCGCGCATACTTCCTATCTTTTTCTTTAAAGAGCTAGTTTCACACCTCAATTATTCACTTTCTGGTTGCAAATGCCGCAACATCTCCGCTGTTACTTGTGCTTTGAGTAGGTCTAGGTGTTCGGCTTTGAGCCCTTTGGCCGCTATTGGTTCACTCCAATAGATGTGTATGGTGCCAGGCGATAAATCGACGGATAGGGTGCTTTGGGTGACGGCGTGTATGTTGCTGACGGTCTGAACGGCGATAGGTGCGCCCATCTGTAATGCCATTTTGAAGGCTCCATCGTAAAATGGTATCAAGGGTTGGTTGGTGCGGTTGCGTCCACCTTCGGGATAAATGAGTATGCTCCAGCCGGATTTGATTTCGTTGCGAATATCGATAAGGCTTTGGGCACGGCTGCGGGCGTTTTGGCGATCAACCATGAGGCACATTTTCTTGACTACCCAGCCAAATACAGGAATTTTTACGAGCTCTTGCTTGGCCAGGAAGCGCAAAACGCCGGGATATGCTCGTGCATTGATGATAAAATCGAGGGCAGAGCGGTGGTTGGCTACGATGATGTAGGATTGGTTTGGGTCGAGGTTTTCTAAGCCATGTATCTTGAGCCTTACACCTATCAATGCCAGAAAAATGGGCGTAAAAACATGGTGCAAATAGTAAATATTTTTTTGCAGTGCGCGCTTGTCCGGACTGATTGCCATGTTGAATAGCAAGTAGGGTATGCTAAAAAACATCATCACCAGAAAGAGGATGACGGCATAAATTGCCCAAATTTTTCGTAATATGCTCAAGTGTTAGTGTTAATGTAATGAAATTTTTCCTTTTCCGGCGTTGAAGTTATGTCAGGGTAATGCACTATTGCATGTGGGTGTTCTAGGATAATGATTTTTATGTTTTTTATGATTGGTATATGATTTTTTTTATGATACTGCATGTGAGTATTCTAGGATATTGATTTTTATGTTTTTTATGATTGGTATATGATTTTTTTATGATGCTAGTGTACAAAGAGCAGCATGAGGGATAGTAGTGGAAATAGCCTTTTTGTGCTTTTTTTGTAAAAATTACCCACAAAACTGAGCCGTTGCACTGCAATCTTTTTGACGGTTGACCAAGTGCAAGGACAAAAAAGCACAAAAAGGCTATTGCAACGGATAGCCCGACCCTCGACTAACTGCCCTTCCAGAACTCCAATCTAGGTAGGAGGACTAAGGGGCAGTTGGCCGAGGGGCATGCCCAAAATGAGAAATGAGAAATGGTCATAGTTCATATTTCATCGTTCATATCTCATATCTAACTACTCTTCCTCTTCTATAAATTTTACGCCAAATTCCTCCAACTCATCCATAACCGGTTGATATACTTCAGGCATGGTAGGTATGGCGACTCCGAGCGTGGAAATCTTGCCTTGTAGCAGGAGTTTCACGAATATACCTAATGGAATGCCTACGAGCTTTGACATGGCGGTGTCCACGCTGTTTTCGCCTTTCATGACCAAGGTGGAGGTGAGTTTATGCTTTTTCTTGCCGATTTCGTACTCAAAAACGTGTTGCATGATAACCATATCTTTGTCATGCGGCTCAAGTGCCCATTTTTCGAGAAGCAAGTGCTCGAGAATGGCTGCCGGTGTGGCGTCTTTAATCTTTATTTTTCGGCGCGAGAAGAGTCCGAGCCATTCGATTTTTTGCATGATATCGCTTTCTGGCTCCAATTCGAGCATTTTGGCGATTTTGTCTTTCACAGAGCCTTGGTGTTCGCTTATGCCAAGGAAAGCATCCATCAATTCGTTGTAGGTAAGGTTTTCGGAGCCGACTATGGGGAATGTGGCATCGGTGAGCCCTATGCGCACGAGGGCATTCCAGGCGTCGCAGAAACCTTTGTGCCGTATGGTGCCCCGGAAGAGGGTTTGGACGTGCTGTAATCCGTAAGCTTCTTTATATAATAAGGAGTCGCGATTGGCGTACACTTCCCACTCGCCCATGCCGGGCACTTGTATGGTGCGGTATTGCCGAAACATGCGGCGATAGGGTATAAACTTGAGCTTGTCGTCTTCTAGGAACTGCGCGGTGCCTTGTCCGGCGAGGACGACGTTGCGCGGATTCCAACTGAACTTGTAGTGCCAAGGGTTGGTGTCGCTCTCGGGGGCTACCAATCCGCCGGTGTAGGAATAAAAAGCGGTAATCTTGCCGCCTTTGGCCTTGATGGCATCGATGCGTTGCATGGCGCTCATGTGATCGATGCCGGGATCGAGTCCTATTTCATTCATGAAGACGAGTGCTTTTTGGCGGGCTTCGTCGCCTAGGCGAAACAATTGCTTCGATACATAGGAGGCCGTTACGAGGTGTTTACCTAATGTAATGCAATCTTGGGCAAGCTCGAGGTGCATGAGCGGTGGCAGTAGCGATACTACAACATCGTGGCGGAGTATGACGTCGCGCCGGTCGTTGGGCTTGGAGGCATCGAGCCAAATTGCTCGTCCGTGCGAATGTTTGTTAATCTTCTGCTCTGCGAGCGACAAATCGGCATCAGCGACAGTTACAAACCAATTGTTCTGTCGAGCTTGTTCTAAGATGTATTTAATAAGGGCTGTGGCAGATCTTCCTGCACCAATAATCAACAAACTTTTCATCTCTTTCAATATTTTGGGGTAAAAATACTTCTAATTATTCGACTGAAACAAAGAAAAAAGCAATAATATTAAAATAAATCGCTAAAATCCAAAAATATTTGTAATATATTTTAATTTGCATTTGGCTATATCCAAAAAAAGATTACCTTTGCTTCAGTTTTTACCTTTTAACAGTTTTATATGAATATTTTTTGTGGAAGTCTTCCATTTAGTTTATCGGAAGACGATTTAAGAGCCTACTTTGAAGCTTATGGAGAAGTTAGTTCAGTCAAGATTATCAATGACAAATTCTCTGGAAAGAGCAAAGGCTTTGGTTTCGTAGAAATGCCAGATGATGCACTAGCGCAGGCGGCAATTGATGGACTTAATGGCAGCGAAATGGCTGGTCGTACAGTTGTCATCAACAAGTCTGAAGACAAAAGAGAAGACCGTGGCGGTGGCGGCGGTGGATACCGTGGCGGCGGTGGCGGCGGCGGTGGATACCGTGGCGGTGGCAACAGCGGCGGCGGCGGCGGTGGATACCGTGGCGGTGGCGGCGGTGGCGGCGGATACCGTGGCGGTGGCAACAGCGGCGGCGGCGGCGGTGGATACCGTGGCGGCGGCAACAGTGGCGGCGGCGGTGGCTATAAGCGCGGCGGCGGCGATGATTATGACAAGAATTGGCAATAGTTTTATAATAAATTAAGTGCAAAAATTAGCAATTAATACAAAGGATTGGTTGCTAATTTTGGGAGCGAGGAAATAATGGTAATCTATTATTTTCTCGTTCCTTATGTGTAATACAATCTTATCAACATGAATAAAGGAAAAGTCAAATTCTATAACGAAACCAAAGGCTTTGGTTTTATTATTGAAGATGGTACCAACGCTGATGTATTCGTACATTTATCCGGACTGAAAGATAAAATACGCAATGGCGACTTGGTTGAATTTGAAATAAAGGAAACCAAAAAAGGCTTATCTGCTATAAACGTACGTCTTGCTCAAGACAACTAAAAAAAACGGGGGGTTCATTATTTATTCGCTCCAGTAAGTTCCATAAAACAAGCTTTTTCTGCCTAACCGAATTAGCTAAAAAAACTTGTTGCCACAACCTGAAAGGTCAGCGGCGACAAGTTTTTTTTTGAGCCTACCCATATTATGCCTGTATGACACCTACATTAAATTTCTCCACCGGTGCATGGTTGGCAGCTTCGATACCCATACTTATCCACTTGCGCGTATCGCGAGGATCAATTACCGCATCCGTCCAGAGGCGTGCTGCAGCGTAATAAGGTGAAGTCTGGTGGTCATATCGCTGCTTTATCTTCAAAAATAGCTCTTTTTCTTCTTCTTGGTTAGGCTCCTGACCCTTCGCTTTGAGGGATGCTATCTGTATTTGTGCGAGCACCTTGGCAGCCTGTTCGCCTCCCATTACTGCAAGTTTGGCAGTAGGCCAAGCCACTATGAGACGCGGATCGTAAGCCTTACCACACATGGCATAGTTGCCGGCACCATAGGAGTTACCGATGACGATGCTAAATTTCGGCACGGTACTATTGCTCACAGCATTGACCATTTTGGCGCCGTCTTTTATGATACCGCCGTGCTCCGATCTCGTGCCCACCATAAATCCGGTAACATCGTGCAAAAACACCAAAGGAATCTTCTTTTGGTTGCAGTTGAGGATAAACCGCGTGGCTTTGTCGGCAGAATCGGAGTAAATAACGCCGCCAAACTGTATTTCTCCTTTGCCCGATTTGATGAGCTGGCGATTATTTGCCACGATGCCCACCGCCCAACCATCTATACGCGCATAAGCGCAGATAATGGTTTTCCCATAATCTTCTTTGTATTGAGTGAGTTTGCCGCCGTCCACCAATTGCTCGATCAATTTCAAACTTTCATAAGGTTTGGCAGCATTTTCGGGGAAAAGCCCAAGGACATGCTCGTTGGGCTGCAAAGGCGGTACCACCTCTACCCTATCAAACCCGGCGGTATCGGGTCGCCCAATCTTATCCATCAAATCCCGAATGGTCTCTAGGCATTTTTTGTCGTTGAGCATCTTATAGTCGGTCACACCCGATATTTCGCAATGTGTGGCAGCACCTCCTAGCGTTTCTTGGTCAACGGTTTCGCCAATGGCTGCCTTCACTAGGTACGGACCAGCCAAAAACACCGACCCCGTGCCTTCCACTATCAAAGCCTCATCGCTCATAATAGGCAGATACGCCCCACCAGCTACGCAACTGCCCATAATAGCGGCTATTTGGGGTATTCCCATACTGCTCATCTTGGCATTGTTGCGAAAAATGCGCCCAAAATGCTCTTTATCCGGAAAAATTTCGTCTTGCATGGGCAGATACACGCCGGCACTATCCACCAAATATATTATGGGTATGCGATTTTCCATGGCGATCTCTTGGGCGCGAAGGTTTTTCTTGGCAGTTATAGGAAACCAAGCACCCGCTTTCACTGTGGCATCGTTGGCAACTACAAGGCAGAGCCGCTTCGATACATAACCCATCACCACTACTACCCCACCCGATGGACAACCGCCCTCGGCTTCGTACATCTCATGACCGGCAAATGCGCCTATTTCTATTCTATGCGCGCCTTTGTCCAATAGATATTCAATGCGCTCGCGAGCCGAAAGCTTCCCGCTCTCCCGCAGTTTCTCTAGTCGTTTCTTGCCTCCACCTTCGTATATCTTATCGAGGAAACGATTAGTGCGAGCAATCGCCATTTTCATGGCATCTTCATTTTTACTCCAGTCAATATCTTGTTGCATCTGTAAACAGTTGTCTTATGAAAGACCAAAGGTAAGTTTATGTTGAGCATTTAGAAAATAAAATGTACTAGTTCATGCAAAAATTATATCTTTGCAACTCGATTATTGGAAATATCATACCAAACTGTGGTAATAATTGACATTTTCGAAACGATAAATCAACGAATTAGTATCCATGTTAGAATTTCTTTCACTTTATGCCAAGGTAGAAAATCCTACCGTTGAGATGGTCATTTTGACTTTCCTGCTGGCTTTTGTCTGTTCTTCAATGATTGCAATGACCTACTATTTCAGTAGTCCCAATACACTCAAGACAGCCAATTTCATACAATCCATCATTTTAAGTTCGTTGGTTGTAGCCATCATACTCCAATCGGTAGGCGATAGTATTGGGGCCGGACTAGGTATCATGGGAGCACTCACGATTGTCAATTTCAGATCGAGCTTCCAAGACCCGCGCGACCTCATATTCATGTTTGCAGCCTTAGGCTCGGGCGTGGCTTGCGGCTCGTATGTGTTTACCATCGGCATTTTGGGCACTTTATTTTTCTGCGCCATCGCCATTTCACTCAGGTTTACACCATTTTACACCGGTCAGCACCAGATATGGGAGATACGGATGAAAAGTCCGCTTGAACTAAATAGCCGTGAAGTCATAGAAAAAATACTGGATAAACATTGCACGCGCTGGTCACTCAATATCCACAGAAATACCAACCTCCGCGATGCCGTAAGATATGTAGAAAGATCTTATTCTGTTCTGCTCATCGACGATGTGAAATACCCTGAATTTCTTTCTGAATTGGAATCACATGGTATGATTATCAGCAGATTTAGCAAGGAAAATACAGGATTTGGGGATAGCGATGTGTAATTTTTTAGATATGAGATATGAAATATAAGGTGCATTTTTTCGCACATTGTTCATAATTCATTATTAAAAAAGTGGGCGTGCCCACACACCGCCCTTTTATATTCCGGGTTGCTTGGTGTTTGCATCGAGGCTGTGTGTGGTCGGGCTATACGCTGCAATAGCCATTTTGTGCTTTTTTTGTCTTCGCTTTTGGGTGTTGTGGGTAAGAGGCTGTACTGCAACATCTTTGTTTTCGAGGGTAAATTTCAGAAAAAAGGCACAAAATGCCTATTTTCGCTACTATCCCTCACGCAGCGCGCGATAGGGATAGTAGCGGATGCCGATAAAAAACGCCTAGAACGAATGCAAATGCACCGCTGAAAACCCGAAAGGCGTTTTTTATAGGCAGCAGCGGATAGCCCGGCTCCGAAACAGCCTAACCACAAAGACTAAGCGTTCAACGGATATACCAAGAGGCTGTTTTCGGAGATCGCCCTGTTTTTTGAAATATGAAATATGAAATATGAAATATAAATATGAGTGAAGAACTATGAACGATGAGGTATGGTGATGAATTATGCATTAATCGCTGTAAATCAATAACATAATAGTCTTGAAGGGGGCAATCGGATATCGATAGTCAACGCCCATCGAACATCCAAAAAATCCAAAATCAAGACAATTGACAATCAAAAATCGTAAAAATCGTAAATCAAGACAATCGAAAATCGTAAATCGAGACAATCGTAAATCGAAAAAATCGAAAATCGAAAAAATCGTAAATCAAAAAATATGAAGATTAATATTCTTTACTTTTTATTCGCGGCGGCATTGGGTGGTGCTTGGTATATCGTGAAGGACTTGCAACGGCAGACCGGCACAACCTACTTCGGCACGGCAGAAACAGATGGACAGGTGCTCAACCTGGACTATAGTGTGATTCTTGAAAGTGTACGAGTGGCGCCCGGGCAACGCGTAAGCAAGGGCGATACGTTGGTGACTTTTTATCGTTCCGAGCTTGACCGTGAGGCAAGTGAATATGAGTCGGACATCCACCAAATTACAGTGGAACATGCCTCTAAAGCAAATAATATAGCCAAACAGCGCGAAGTGATCGAGCTAGAAGCAAAAAAAGATGTGGAGAGCATACGCACCAAAATAAGTGCCCTCGAAAAGGAAATTGAAGCCGAAAAGCGCGTGCGCGAGGCGGTGGGCTATACCGGAAAGGTAGCCACAAATACGGTAAAAGAGCAGGAAATACTCGGTTATAAAGCGGAAATCAGCCGCATAAATGAGGAAGCAGAAGGGCAAGTACGCCAACTCATGGTGGAGTCGAAAAGCGAATCGACCATCCGCGACGCCGAGGTACTGAAGCATAAAAAGTCACTAGGATTTGTAGAAAAAGCCAAAATGGTGCGTTGCCTAGTATCACCAATGGATGGTTATGTGGAGCGCATATCGGGCACCAAAGGCGAGTCAATCAATGATCAACGCGAAATTGCAAAGATAAATCCCAATCGACCAACAATGGTAATAGGGTTTATGCCCGAAACCATGGATGCACCAATCACACTTGGCGATACGCTGTACCTACACTCCACGCCGCGCCCGGAGATACAAGAGGTGGGCATACTAACCGGAAACGGGAGCAAAATGGTAGAATTGCCTTTGCGCCTGCGCAAGTTTCCGGAGATAAAAGCATATGGTAGGGAGGTTTTCATTCAGTTGCCGAAAGATACCAAATACTATATCAACGAAAAAATACTTATTTCTACAGTTCCACCAGCCATCAAATAAATCATGGTCAGTTTTCGAAAATATAATGTAATGAAATGGTGCTTTGCAATAGTAAGTTGCGGAGCATGGATGGGTGCGCATGCGCAGACACTTGTGGGCACAGGGTCGCAATTTTTGAGCACCTACAATAGCGATCCGCGTTTGGTACACATAGACCAATTGGTTTCGCTGAACGATTCATTGAATTACAATATGCCTTTGATGAATCGCGTAGATTTTAGGTATGGGATATCGGGAAGCATTTGGAGAGATACGATTTATGGACAATTTCGCAATTTCGACAATTTTGGGCTCGTATTGCAGCCCAATAGTTTGCGCACTATTCGCGCTCAAAAAGCATTGAAAAACGTAAAAAGCGAAGAATACTCCGCTCAAAAAGCCGAAATTATCCATGAAGCCTTAGCCAATCGCTACGAAATATTGGCCGAACTTCTAACCGCCGGAGAAGTGCTCGAAGCGCAAAAAACAATGGTACAATTGCTCGAAAAGAAAAGCATTTTGCTCAATGCAAACATGGAAAATGGCATAGAAGTGCGTGTGAAAGACGTAATCGGGCTAGAAGAAGATAAAACTAAGCTCCAAATAGATATTGCAAAACTAGAAAGCACCTATCGCGCGGCTTTGGCAGCCTACGAAATAGAGTCTAAATCGATTGTGCAATTGGATGCACCGGTAACCTCCAAAGGCTTTATCTCTGTAGAAAAAGTGATGGAATATGTGAATACAACTGCATCTGTGCCGGCAAATATACCGGAAGTGACAGCAGAAATGGCGAAATATAATTATGCTGAGAAAGAAATGTTGCTCGACGCTACGAAGGGGAGGAATTTTTTCAGAGGGTTGCAGTTGGGCTATCGCAATGATATTTTGGATGTAGAAAAACCTGATGAGCAACGCGCTAGGAACAATTTCAGTATCAGAGCTGATTTTACGTTGCCGATAAAAGGTGCCAACAACCTAGATTATGCCAAAAACAAGCTAAAATTGATGGAAATCTCCAATGAAATAGCTTGGCTCAAGGAGGAAAATGCTACCGAAGTGGAGCACCTTAAGGCATCGATACGCAATACTTACCAATTGTACGAAACCTACCGCGCTAAAGTCGGCGACAACCTTATACACAAAATGCTCAACACGCCAAACATTCAAGACCACATCAGTCCGGAGGAATGGTATGCCTTACAGATTGTGCAGCAGGAGTTGGAAATTAAAAAATCATCGCTCTATCGCGACATCGTTATGCAATATGTCGAATTGCTCCAAACGCAAGGCGCTATCATACAGATGCCATTGCGCAACTACTTGACCGACGATTTGGAGCCATTTTAGGCTGCTTCGTCTAGCCCCATCGGTTCATATCGACTATACTATCCGGATAATTGCCTATTTTGAAGGCCTTACGCTCCGATGCACTCAGCAAATCGGGGCGGTGTATCTTATCTACCGGCACCAAGCGGAGCTCCGGACACCACAATCGAACCATGTCGCCGTGCCCATCATATTGTCGAGCCTGCGTGAGTTGATTGAAGTAACGGTCTTCTCGCGGATCGCTGCCCACTCCCGCCACATAATTCCAGTTGCCATAATTGCTGCAAGGGTCATAATCCAAGAGCATAGATTCAAAATATTCGGCTCCCATCAGCCAATTTACTTGCAAGTCTTTCACAAGGAACGAAGACACGTTTTGCCTCCCGCGGTTGCTCATAAATCCGGTTTCAGCGAGTTCACGCATATTTGCATCCACAAAAGGTACGCCGGTAGCGCCATTTATCCATTTTTGTAGCAAAATATGGTCATTTTTGAGGTGACTCATATCTTTACCTTGCGGTCCGCCTTGTTTGAAAATCTTATTGCCATGTTTTTTGCCCATCAGCCTGAAGTAGTCGCGCCAAAGCAACTCAAAAAATATCCAATAGGTGCTTTCGTTGCAGGTTCGTTCGCGCTCATAACGTTGCACTTCATGAAAGACGAGCTTAGGTGAGAGGCAGCCGGTAGAGAGCCACGGTGAAAATTTGGTAGAATAATCTCCGCCTACCAAGCCATTGCGCGTAATTTTGTAATTGGACACCAAATCGCTATCCCAAAGATAATATTTTAGGCGAGCAAGGGCGGCAGTTTCACCACCTTCAAAATGCAAAGCCGACCGCACGTCGCGCGAGATTGGCGTATGCCCAAGTTCTTGTATAGTGGGAACAGTGCCCAATACAGTATCGGCAGCCAAAGGGGGAAGCTTCTCCGGGCGCGGCAAAGGTAGCCTAATGGGTGTTATCAGCTCCGTATCTTTCCTGAATTGGCTAAAATAATCGGAAGTATGGGTAACAGGTACAGGCAAATCTTGGGTGTGAAACAA